TCAGAAATTATCTACATGAACTCGTGTGTTTAGCATAGGTTCATGAGCACCTGATTTTATTATGCTACTGTTGAGATATTGGGATTTGGCATAATTCTGGATTTATTGTTGATTTACATTTGATTTCATACTTATACGTAGTATGATTTTTTGGAAACTACACATGTTTTACAGTGAGGGGTTAGTATGTTCAGAAAATAAATGTGTTTTATAAACCTTTGTTTTTGCCCACTCACCCTTTTGTTTTTCACCCTTCCAGGTCCTTAATAGCTGACCTAGTCTATGGTGTATGAGGAAAATCTAGCGTTTCTGACATATCTCTAAATAAATGTAGGAACTTTTCCTGTTGTGTATTAAGCACCTTAACTAGTTTCGACTGCACACTCTTTTATCATCTATACTCTGAACATTTGTATTTTATGGGTTTTACCCACTACTACGCACTGACTTTATTATTTAAATAAGTTCTAATTTTGGTTTAAATTTATTTATATTTTTACATCACTTACATTTTTGGTTACATCACATTTGGGTGACGACCAGCCTGCCTCAGCTTAGGTCGGGGTATGTTAGTTTGGAATCATAGCATAGGTTTGGCAGTCCTACATTCCTCATATGTGTTTTAGGCACTAATAATTTTTTATTTCTTATGTTAGAATCATGCCACCTCGTAAAGAGCCACGTGTCCCTTCTGAGACTAATTTTCCTGATTTTGGGCAACTCGGTGAGGTTATTACCAACGCCATATAGTCCACACTTCGTCTTCCCTAGAGGACTACCTTAAAGATTGTATCCCATCTTCAGATAGATAATTTCTTTGGCAATAAAGGACCCGAGAGATCCGAGGTTTGGATTGACTATGTTGAAAAGACTTTATGAGTTATGCAGCAACAGGGAAACCTTCCAGCAGAGAAATGAGTCAAGATAACGACTTGGTTCTTTCATCTGGGAGAGAATCATGGTGGGCTCAAGAGTCACACCCGTTGTCTGCTCAAGATGCCATGAATTAGGATGTTTTTAGACGCCTATTTGAGGCTAGATTCACACTTCCAGAATATAAGGATAAAAACAGAAAATAATTCACAGAGTTAAAGCAAGGTAAAATGTTAGCCTTGGAGTATTACCGAAAATTCACTGACTTATCCCGCCATTGTCCTGAAATTGTTGGGGATCCTAGAGAGATGCTCCGTTATTTTAAGAAGAAGACTCGTAAGCGACTACGTTCTCTGGCGACTTCTACTTTATGCTCTACTTACCAAGTATTCTTTGAGGTTTTACTTCGTATTAAGATTTCGAGAATGGCCCTGATAATGATGATGATGAGGAGGATAATGATAAGGGTCAGAGGAATAATAACATGGGGCTGTCATCTTTTGGCCCTCAAAAGACTCAGAATTTCAAGAGAAGTGGTAACAGCTGTGGATCATCTAGCGGTGGTTCAAATTCTAATACACCTAGAAGGGGCGGTAGATCCACTGGTGGTTCACGCTTTCAAAATCAAAGGAACCCTAGTAATTCTGGTGCTCAGTTCTGCCACAGGTGCAATATTCATCACTCCAGAAAGTGTAAGAGGGGAGGTAGTGGATGCTATACTTGCAGTCAAATAGGGCACAAAGCTAATCAGTGTCAACAGAATCAGAAACCTCAGCATTCTACTCTACCAGCTGCAGTTCCTCCACATCAGATTCCAGGGCCTAGGACCTACACGCTGACAAGTTACAGTGGTATTTTCCATTACCAAGGTGACATAGCCCAGCATTTAGGAGGAGCATATCAATACCTACCTGATGTTCCCTACTACCATGGTGGTTATCCACAGTACTAGGGGGTTATACGCCGTATCAAGGCAGATGAGCACAATGGTATACTGGAGGACAGTACCAGAATCTTAATGTAGCTTCTAGTAATGGTGGATTGACCAGGTAGCCTAATCCGACAAATCAAGGTCGAGGTAACCAAGGATGCAGTAACCAGGGAAACAAGGGTCGTGGAGGTCGACAACAAGCACAAGGATGTGTCAACAACATCACCTTGTAGGATGCTCAGAGTAACCCCGATTTGATCATGGGTACGTTGAATGTTCTTGGCCATCTTGCTAGAATTTTAATTGACTTGGGTGTTACTCATTCGGTTATTTCCCATATGTTTGCTCAAAAGACTCAACTTCACCCCACTCCTCTTGGTTATGAATTGGAGTTTTCGATGCCTAAGGGTGAAACTTGTTGTGTTAGTTGGGAGTATCGAGGATGTCCCGTTCTTATAAAGGATGCCATAATGCCAGCTAATATTGTTCCCTTGGACATCGTTGATTTCAATGTTATCTTGGGCATGGATTTGTTAGATTATAATCGTTCCATGTTGAATTTTCACCAGAAAATTGTCATTTTCCATCGACCTGGCATGCTAATTGTAACTTTTATCGGCAACAGAGTTATCTCTACCGTGAGGGTGAAGCGAATGCTGAGAAAGGGTTGTCAAGGCTACTTAGCTCATGTAGTGGTGACTGAGGAGACTCCTGCCCATGTGGAAGACGTTCAGGTAATCAGACACTTCCCTGATGTTTTTCCCGATGATCTACCTAGCTTACCACTAGATCGTGAAGTGGAGTTCACCATCGATCTACTTCCAGGTACTGACCCTATTTCTCTAACTCCTTATCGTATGGATTCTGCTGAGTTGAGAGAATTGAAAACCCAGTTGCAATAACTTGTTGATAAAGGTTTTATTCAGCTAAGCACTTTTCCTTAGGGAGCTTCAGTCTTGTTTGTGAGGAAGAAAGATGGAACATTAAGGCTATGTATCGATTACAGACAGCTGAATTGGGTGACGATTAAAAATCGTTATCTATTGCCTTGCATCGATGACCTTTTGTATCAACTTCGTGATTATTACCAGTTGAAGGTCAGAAGTGAAGATATTCCGAAAACAGCCTTTTGAACTTGATATGGTCATTATGAGTTTCTTGGGATGCCATTCGGGTTGACTAATGCTCCGACATCTTTTATAGACCTGATGAATCGGGTATTCCATCTATACCTTGACAGGTTCGTAATTGTCTTCATCGATGACATTCTGGTGTATTCTAATAGCAAGTTTGACCATGCTAGACATTTACGTTTGGTTTTGAAGAAGTTAAGGGAGAATCAGCTGTACGCTAAATTCAGTAAATGCCAATTCTGGTTAGATTAGGTGTCATTCTTGGGACATGTGCTATCAGCCCAGGGGGTTCTCGTGGATCCTCAGAAAGTAGCAGTAGTGGAAATTTGGGAGCAACCTTAGACGGTCATTGAAGTTCGAAGTTTTCTTGGTCTTGCTGGCTATTATCGACGCTTTGTAACAAACTTTTTAGCCATAGCCTTGCCTCTGACAATGTTGACCGGGAAATTAGTTAATTTTAAGTAAAGTGATGATTGTGAACAGAGTTTTCAACATTTAAAGTACTGTCTCACTCATGCGCCTGTCCCGGCACTTCCCGATGACAGTGGGAACTTCGAGATCTACAATGATGCCTCTTTGAATGGTCTAGGTTGTATACTAATGCAGCATGGAAAGTAATAGCTTATGTTTCACAACAGCTCAAGCCTCATGAAATGAACTATCTTACTTATGATCTTGAATTAGCAGCTATTGTCTTTGCTTTAAAATTTTGGTGGCACTATCTTTATGGATAAACTTGTCGAATTTTCACTAACCACAAAAGCCTCAAGTATATCTTTACTCAAAATGAACTTAAGCTTCAGCAGCGTAGATGTATGGAGTTGATCAGAGATTATGACTGCACCATTGAGTATCACCCTGGTCGTGCAAATACTGTAGCCGATGCTCTCAGTAAGAAATCTCATGGTTGACCCAATGCTCTTTATGCATGTCGTGTTCCTCTTCTCACCGACCTAAGATCTACTAGAACCACTTTGGGAGTGGATCACCTAGAAGCCCTACTTACCAACTTTCAAGTCAGGCCAGTTTGGTTGGATCGTGCTCTCAAGGCCCAGGTGAACGATTAAGAATCCCAAGAGTTAAAACAAGTGGTGTTGAACAGCAATAAGGGAGATCTAAAAATTCAAAGGCCTGATGGTATGCTCATGCAGGGTGATCGGATGTATGTACCGAATGTGGAAGAACTGAAGAAGGAAATTCTCGATGAAGCGCATATCTCAACTTATGCGATGCATCCCGAGAGTACTAAAATGTATCATACTATCTAACCTTTCTACTATTGGCCTGGAATGAAAAGAGAAATTCCGGAGTATATGAGTCGTTATGCTGTTTGTTAACAGGTTAAGGCAGAAAAAGAGAAACCATTCGGTTTGCTACAGCCACTTCCCATACCCCAGTGGAAATAGGAAGATATTACCATGCATTTCGTGTACAAGCTGCCTCATACACGAAATGGTTATGATGGTATCTGGGTAATTATAGATCGGCTTACCAAATCCGCGCACTTTTTACTTGTTTTTGAGAACTATTCGTTGAGTTGGTTGGCCGAACTTTTTGTCTCTAAAATTGTCAAGTATCATGGTGTTCTAGTTAGTATCATTTCTGATCAGGACCCTAGATTTACTTGAAAATTCTGGGTAGCTTTTCAAGAAGCTCTAGGCTCAAGAATACTCTACAGCACCGCCTATCATCCTCAGACGGATGGGCAATCACAGAGAACTATTCAGACGTTAGAAGATATGCTGAGATCTTTAGTCCTGCAGTTCGGAGACACATGGCACAAGCGCTTACCTTTGATAGAATTCGCCTACAACAACAACATTCACTCCAGCATTGGTATGTCACTATTTGAGGCGCTTTATGGGAAACCATGTCATACACCGTTGTGTTAGCCCGAAATAGGCGAAAGAGTTTTGGTTGGTCCTGAAATTGTAGATGAGACGACACAAAATATTTAGGTGATAAAAGCTAACCTGATAGCAACCTAGGATCGGTAAAAGAGTATAATAGACAGACATTTAATCGACAGAGTATATAAGGTTGGAGATTGGGTATTCTTAAAGATGTCACCGTGGAAAGGCGTGGTACGTTTCAGGAAGAAAGAAAAGCAAAGTCCTCGTTACATCGGAGTATACCAAATCATTGAGCGAGTTAGTGAAGTTGCTTACCGACTTGATTTACCTCTAGAGTTGTCAATGGTGCATAATGTGTTCCACGTATCCATGCTACGGAGATACGTCTCTGATCCGTCACATGTGATTCCCCCTCAGCCGTTAGAGATTAATCCTGACTTTACGTATGATGAGGTTCCAGTGACGATTCTTGACTGGAAAGACAAAGTCCTCAGGAACAAGACCGTTTGTATGGTGAAAGTCTTATGGAGAAACCACTCTGTTGAGGAAGTTACCTAGGAGACAAAGGAGCGTATGCGAGATGTTAATCAATGTTTGTTCTTTAACTGATCACTAGTAGTGTTGAAATTTCGGAGACAAAATTTTCTTAAGGGGGGTAGGTTGTGACGACCCGTTCCTAATTTTCCATGTAATTTTCTCCCCAAATGTGTAAATTGACGTTTATGTCCTTTTTGGCAAAAATGGAACCTGACATGGATGTAGTCATTCTATTTTTATATTATTTTTCTTGATATCGTAATTAAATGGTACTCGTTACAAATGCGTGAACGTGAGTTAGACCCAATCAGATTTGTAAAAAAAAACGATACGCTCAATTAAAGTATGTTGTAGCGGGTAGAATTGTACACGCGTGTGAGCTAATTTATCAGAGTTAGAAACACTATTTTTGATAAGGAGATGAATTTTTTTGTGTACTTTTACTGGGAAAAATCTGAAAATCTTATCCCTTCTTCTTTTTAAATTGGACTCGTGCCCTCAAATCCCTCACCACCAAACAATTTCACTCTTTAATCCTATCACCCAATCAGATTTTTCTTCTTTCTGTCCAATAAGAACTCAACTTTGTTTTTTTTTTCTCTCTCTCTCTCTCATCTTCTTCCTCTCTTTCTCTGTCCCGAGACCCTCTCCTCTTTGCAACAACAATACACCACCATCAAACTTCACAGATTGAACCTAAAAACACTACCATTGTACTCCACTCATCCTCACAAACCTAGCTGTACCAACCGATCACGAAATGGATGAGTTTTGACTAGTCAACTAGGAAGCTCCGACTTGGACGAGTATCCTCCGATGTGCTTCCAACCGAGTTACAAGTTTTTAGGATGTTAGGAAGCCTCTACACAACTTCCCGAGGCTCCTAGTATAAGTTTGAAGAAGAACCAACATGTAGAAGCACGGTTTCGAGGAGTCGAAAAATAGTCTGAACCTTTCGAGCCAATTTCAGCCCACTTCCAACCACTTTTTAAACTTTTAAACTTGTTCTTCTCTTCCTGGGCTTCATTTCCATATAAATGTTGTCAAAAATGGTTGAGAAATGAACAAGTTATGAAGATTTGAATTTTTCCCAAAAAACCTGCGAAGTTTTTCTAGTTTTTGACGAAACCAGACAGGGGCATTCCACCAGAAAAGATGAAGAATATTCCGTCAAAGTTGACGGAATATTCTAACGGCATCAGATAATGCCGTTAAGTTATGTTAACCGTTTAACGGAATATTTTGTCAAGTCTGACGAAATATTCCTAGTGTTCGTTAGTCACTGGCTTGCGCATGGGGAAGCGTGTAGCTGTGGACTAGCCGATGCGTAAGGGCGCATCTAGCCACCGACCAGCGAGTGCTTGACATGTACGGGTCCGTGACATGGAGTAGAGTGTTTTCGTATATTCAAACCTTCTGTTTGAGCAAACTATGGGAGTTTTTCCTACCTATTTAGTACGAGGGAAAGCACGGCTAGGAGGCTACGATCCATCGACATATCAGTGAGTGGCCATTTGTTTTCATGTATATATATAAAGTTTATTGTTTCCACATGTGTTTTTATATTGATTTTACACCTATTATGCCATGATTTATTTAATTTTAAAAATGTTATTATGATGTTGAGATTTATATATAGTCATGGCATGATCACATACATTATAATTGCTCATCATACATGCTTGCACAAGTTTAGTGCTCGGCCTGGGCCATGTGCACATCGCACCGTATGCTCACCTTGGATCCAAGTATGTGCCAGTCCTGTTGTACAGGTTGCATTAGGCAACTCTGACTCATATGTGCCAAGTCTTCACGTGATTGTAGTACTATAGCGTATATTATGATTACACCCAGTCCTGTTCATGTTAGAAATTATCTGCATGAACTTATGTATTTAGCATAGGTTGATGAACACCTAATTTTATTATGCTATGTTGAGATATTGGGATTTAGCATATTTTTGGATTTATTATTGATTTACATTTGATTTCATACTTATATGTAGTATGATTTTATGGAAACTTTACATGTTTTATGGTGAGGGGTTAGTATGTTCAGAAAATAAATGTGTTTATAAACCTTTGTTTTTGCCCACTCACCCTTCTGTTTTTCGCCTTTCCAGGTCTTAGATAGCTGACCTACTCTGTGGGGTACGAGGAATATCTAGCGTTTCTGACATATCTCTAAATAAATGTAGGAACTTTTCCTATTGTGTATTAAGCACCTTAACTAGTTTCGACTGCACACTCTTTTATCATCTGAACTTTTCCTATTGTATATTAAGCACCCTAACTAGTTTCGACTGCACACTCTTTTATCTTCTATGCTCTGAACATTTGTATTTTATGGGTTCTACCCACTATTGCACACTCATTTTATTAGTTTAATTAAGTTCTAGTTTCAGTTTAAATTTATTCGTATTTTTAGATCACTTACATTTTTGGTTACATCACCTTCAGGTGACAGCCAGCATGCCTCGACTCCGGTCGGGATGTGTCAATAATTTATTTTAAAAATTTTAATGTATTTTTAACAATTTTTATTAACCTTTTATTAATTTTTATTAAGTAAATTAATGCAGACTGTTGGATTTGGAAAAGATTCAAATCCAACAGCCTAGAACGCGCCATGTCATCTAGCCATTGGGTTCGAATTTCAAATTTTTTTGACCATTGGAAATCCAATGGCCCATAACAAGCCACGTGGCCACTCACGGATCCAAATTGGTGTGTTGAAGCGGTGGGCCCCACTGCCTGTTTTCTGTTGGGAACACTCGTTTATGCGCCCGTGTGTGTGTTTCCCACACGCCTGATGCAAAAAAAAAATAATATAAGTGTGTCGTGACATCATGTTGGTGTCAGCATGATGTCACATAGGCTAGTTGATTGCTCAGCACATTTTGGGCCGGCCTATGGCCTGGCTTGGGCTGAAGGCTAGCCTATTAGGCTGGGTTGGAGTGTTTTAGTGGAGTCCTGGTCCATTTTTCACACTTTGAGCTGGTCTATCTCTTGGGGTGGACTTGCTCTCATATCCCACTGTGATCTCTAATCCTTTGAGACCTTAATCCACATCAGAAATACATTCTTTGAAAACCCAGTAGCCATTACAACATTACCCACATGAAATTTCTCCCAGTTTTAATTTAATCCCATCACATCAATAAAATCAATTAACAATTAAGCCACAAATCGAGATATTCGAACTGCCACCATAGATGTCATAATAGAAACGAAGGTCACGTTACCCAAAAGCAGAGGTCATGATGACTAGGAACAGAGGTCGCAATGCCCACTTGGTTTCGATCAACTATCTCTGGTTCTTTGTTCATATCTACTTGGTGTTTATTGAAGGTCGCGATGCGCTGCCGCCCATGGCGGGATAGGTCGAAGAAAAACAAGTGTGATTTTTCTTTAGCATGAGTCCGACTAATAATACCAAGGTTTTGGAAGGCATAATTAAGCAGGTAGGAAGGGTATTAAAATGGTGGGGCCGGATTAAATAATTTGGTGTTTATTTAATATGAGACTTACCAAACACTCACTTCGTATTATTAGTACTATTCGATAGTCTTGTACAACGTGTCAAACGAAGCCTAAGGTGGCAATCTAAACTGCTAATTATTTTCACTATTTTCTGCATAATTTACATGTCAAGACAAGTCAAAATGGATTATTACTTTTTCTAGAACTCATGTCGGATTTCAATGCAATATCAGTATTTTCTAGTCAAGTATATCAACCAAGCAAAAAAAAAGTCAGTTATTACATTATTAGTATTTTTGTATCTAGACCAAAAATTCATTCAAGTATTTTCTGCATAATTTTGTCTAGTTTGTAACGACCAATGTTTGTTTGTCAAGATAAACATGAAAAATTACTCTTTGTCTAGTTCATTTAATTATGTGAACATTTTCGTTCTCCTTTTTGTATATTCTTTTGCTGTTATACGAACACCAAAATACGAAAAAGAGTAAAAACGCCTCCCATATCGGTGGATAACTATCTTGGCAGCTTCCGCCTGACGGCTTGCCTGAGTGCAAACTAAATCGGACAGAATTGGATCCCCTCCTAAGTAAATGGTGGGGATCCTCATGATTTACTAACATGGACAGTTGAATTTTAATCCAATGATTACAAGTAAAAGATCTTTCTAAAATTTATAATAATTGTAGCCGTTGAATTTATAATACACAAACCACCACCTTCACTTCTCACACCTTCATATCTTTATTTTTAGAGTGAATAGTAATTGACATGTTAACAAGTGGGAAGACTCTTTTTTTTGGGATGTGATATCCACACATCTCATTTTACTTCTCACACACCTTTTTAATTTTCGGCCGTCAAATCAGATGAATTGAAGAAGATCAATAGATATAAATTATCAAGGGGTACGTGAATAACACATTTTTTTTTTATTTATTTATTAAACAAACGATATTATTTACGTTAAGAGGAAAGGATAGGCTTAGCCTTACAATTGACAAGTAATAATGTGATTCAAATTTACCTTCGACGAGAATCAAGTCTAAAACTTTTGGACTGTAGTACTAAGTGGCTAATAATGAGCTTGATAGAGATTGCGGTTGGCATTTACGCGCGATGGCATGCGAATGGGTTTGAAGGGAGTGACAGTAACCCTAGTCCTTAGCAGCGAGTTAGATAACTACATCTACAGACAAAAGCCACATAAAAAAATTAAAAATTAAAAAACAAAAGTTAGAAAACGAGAGAAAGAGAGAGAGCACTTTACCACTTTTATATGTTGCACGCATCCACATAGCAGAAAACAGAAGGAAGACGAAGTAGCACTACTCCCCTCAAACCCTCAATCCTCAAGGCTCAAGGCAAACCAGAAGCAGCAGAGGAGAAAGAACGAGCAAAAATAAAAAAAAATAATCCCACAAAAACGCCCAAACCCACACAGACAGAAGAAATGAAGAAAGAAGATGGTTCCAAAAGTGGGTCTTGAGCCCCGAGGCCTGTTTGCTTCAAATGCAAAAGCTTTTTCTGCAACAACAAAAGCCATTAAGCTAGCAGAACAGCGCAAGCCGCATCAGCAGCAGCTAAAAGTGCTTTTGGGTGCTGAGAGATTTCGTTTCAACAGCTGAGCATGTACTTGGGTAGTCTCTGTTTGACCCAGAATCTGGACTAAAAAACCAGAAAAAAAAGAGTTTTTGTTTTTGGGGTTTTTAGCATTGAGCTCTCTGGGTTTGTAAATTTGAGTTCAACCTATTTGTAATTTGTGCTTCTGGGGTTGTGGGTTTTGTTGGTTTTGAAGAAAAACTGGAGATATTTGTGTTTTTTGGTTTGAGGAGATTTGTAGGAGTGTTGATTTTGTTGGATGAAGGCCATGCCCCTACCCTTTGAGGAGTTTCAAGGGAAGGGGGTGCTAGATTTCTCTTCTGTTTCTTCTTCTTCTGCTGCTGCTGCTGCTTCAGATTCATTTCTTTCATTGCCGCCGCAAAAGTGGATTCACCGCCACCACAGCAGCAAAGAGAATTGCTATGTGGGCAGCACTGAGCCCACCTCTGTCCTCGACACCAGAAGAAGCCCAAGCCCGCCCACATCCTCCTCAACACTGTCTTCCTCCCACGGCAGCGGAGCCAGCGGTGGCTCGACAGACACAACCACTGCGGCGGGGGTCGAAAACCCATCTCAAACACCCTTAGAGGAACAAAAATGCGGCCCGTCGCTCGGCATGGAGGACTGGGAGAGCGTTCTGTCTGAGTCCCCAGGTCAAGAGCAGTCCATCCTGAGGTTGATTATGAGTGACATCGAAGACCCCTCTCTTGGATTGAACACGCTGCTGCAGAGTTCAAGCGGTTCTGATCATCACCACCAAAATTTGGAATTCGGCTGCGGAGGGTTTCAGGATGTGGTGGATCAAGGCGGAGGATACGGCGGCGGCTTCGAACCCGATGATCATTCTGGGGGTTTGGTTAGCCCCTCTCTGCACGCAAGTTCTGATCCTGATTTTAATTTCAGTAATAATGCCTCAAATGTTGAGACTCAGAGCAGCAATGTGAGACCAAACCCTACAATGTTCTCTGCTTCAATGAGTAATCCTTTTCCGGTTTCGCTGTCTTCCGGCATGTTTCAGCGGCAACAGAACATGGGTCTGGAGGAGAAGCCTCAGATTTTCAATCCCCAGATGGTAATTAACCAAAACCAAGCTCAGTCTACACAGAACCCAGCTATGTTTATGCCTTTGACACATGCCCAATTGCAAGAGCACCACCTTCTCTCACCGCCTCCGTCGAAAAGGCTCAATTCTGGTGGATTTGGACCCGGTTACCCAGTCCAAAGGGTACCCTTTTTGAATCCCGGGCAAGAGCTATTGGTTCGGGCTCAGCAACAGCAGCAGCAGCTTCAGTTTCTTCCTCAGCACCTTCAGCAGCAGAGGCCAACAATGCCGGTGGCAAAGGAGAAAATGATGAGCCCGGCAGAGGGCGGTAAAGAAATGATGAACCAGAACCACCAGCAGCAGCAGCTTCAGCAAGCAGTAATTGACCAGCTTTTCAATGCAGCAGAGTTGATCGAAACAGGAAATCCGGTACTCGCGCAAGGGATATTGGCGCGGCTCAATCACCAGCTCTCTCCCATTGGCAAGCCTTTTTCAAGGGCTGCTTTTTACTTCAAGGAGGCCTTGCAATTGCTCCTTCACATCAACACCTCTAGTAACTCTTCTTCGGCTTTGTCGCCTTTTAGCCTCATTTTCAAGATTGGTGCTTATAAATCGTTCTCTGAAATCTCGCCTGTTGTCCAATTTGCCAACTTTACTTGTAACCAAGCCATCCTTGAAGCCGTGGAGGGCTTTAATCGTGTTCATGTTATTGATTTTGATATTGGCTATGGCGGGCAATGGGCTTCTTTCATGCAAGAAGTTGCCTTGAGAAATGGGGGTGCATCTTCTCTTAAAATCACTGCATTTATATCGTCTTCCGCGCATGATGAATTTGAGGTTAGTTTCACTCGAGAAAACCTCAAACACTTTGCTAGTGAGCTCAACTTGGCATTCGAACTTGAACTTGTGAGCCTTGAGTCGTTGAACTCTGGTTCGTGGGGATTGCCTATTCATGCTTCTGACGGCGTGGCAGTTGCTGTCAATCTCCCCATTGGCTCCTTTTCGAGTAACCCTTTATTGCTTCCATTGATCTTGCGCTTTGTTAAGCAGCTTTCTCCCAGAATTGTTGTCTCTTTGGACAGAGGCAGTGATCGGACCGATGTTCCATTTCCCCACCAAATAATCCAAGCCCTCCACTCTTACTCCGGCCTGCTTGAATCAATAGATGCTGTCAATGTAAACCCAGATGCACTGCAGAAGATTGAGAGGTACTTGCTCCAACCAGGCATTGAAAAGATTGTAACGGGCCGCCATCATTCCCCTAAAAGAACACCTTCCTGGAGGACACTGTTTTTGTCATCTGGGTTCTCACCATTGACATTCAGCAATTTCACCGAGTCCCAGGCCGAGTGCTTGGTGCAGCGGACTCCGGTTGGGGGGTTCCACGTCGAGAAGAGACAGTCTTCGCTTGTGCTCTGCTGGCAGCGCAAGGATCTCATTTCTGCCTCAGCTTGGAGGTGCTGAAGAACCGGCATTTTGAAGTTGGTTCTACCAATTCATAACTTACTGCTTTAGTTTTGGAACTCTTTCGGTTCTCTTCCTTGATTCTACAAATATGCCCTAATTGTCTATGGTTCTGTAGTAGGCCTTTTGATTCCAATGAAGAAACCAAACATTCAAAGTAACTCAATGGCTTTGTACAGGTTTTGTTTATTTATTTATATTTTCAGTTTCTTACTTTAGAATTTGGGTATATCTATATATTCTGGTGTTTTTCTTAAAGATAGTGCCGTTCACACATATATTTTTATTTTTCACACTCTTGCTAATTTTTGGATACTGATGTCTTCAATCTAGTTGATACAATGGCGGGAAATGGATAGGTGTGTGTGAGAAGCAAAAACTGATGTTACTTTTCACACCCTTGTTAATTTATGGATAATGACGTCTTCAACATCCGTCTAAACCCATCTAGGTTACGATCCACTTAGAAAGAAAATAAATAATTTTAATTTTGTATTTTATTTTGTATTTTTTTTAATAAATTATAAGAGACTTGTTGAATACTTAAATGAGCACACATTATATGCTTGTTTCCCATGTTTTTATTATGTTCCAATACTTCATAATATATGTTATTTTATTTTGTAGTTTATGATGAAATTATATGTACTTTAAATATAAACAAACACTTATTTATACGATATATAATGGATTTACTTAAATCTGCTTAGACCTCACTTAGCTGTCTAGGCGCTAGGCTCTAGCCCACCGCCAGACTAGTGCCTAGCGTCTTTTAAAACCTTGAGAGCATTCCCACCGTTGGGTTTTGCTAGGGGGACGGGCTCCAAAACAAGGGCCCGAGGGCTGGTGGCGTCGCTCCAGCGTAGCCCAGCCCGATGGAAGGGGGAGGCTCGAGCTCCGGGCCCGTGGGGGATTGCCAGCCCTTGAGCCCGAGGTGGGGGTGACGTAAGGCTGACGCCAGGATGGCATCAGCGCAATATTTTATTTTTTTTGTGTCAGACGCGTGCACCCCACCCGCGCATGGGGGCGCGTCGCTGACACAAAAATCAGAAAAAAAAAATTCTGTCAGTTACTGTTGGGAAGCCACGTGGCTTCCCACGGTGCGTTAGATCTCAACGGTCACTTTATTTAGACCGTTCGATCTCAACGGTAAAAAAAAAAGTCAGATTTAATATCCACCGTTCGATCTGAGATCAACGGTGGATATTAAAATGCTTTATAAATAAAAAAATAAAAGAAAAAATAGTTTTAAAAATCTGAAAAGTTACTGTTGTGACACGTGGCACATGGAGTGTTGGAATTCAAATTGTTTTATATCCAACGGCAGAGATAAATTAATTAAATAAAAATTTAAAAAAAATTCAAAAAAATTCAAAAAAAAATTTGAAAAATCTGAAAAAAAGTGTAAAAAAAATTGTTTTTACTTTTCTATAAATACCTTCTCTTATCAAAAATCCATCACCAATAATTGTATTATTTTGTATTATTTAATAATACTTCGGATAATGACATGTGGCGCAACGAGAACGATTAAAAATCTTATCCGATATTACAATTAAAATTATTTTGTATTATTTTAAAAATAAAAAAATACTAATATTTTATTGCCTATTGCCAGGGCTATTGAAGTGTAACGGTGGAGATGCAAATTGTGACATCCCGTCCCGGGATTATTAACACGTACGTGTGGAATTACAATTTTGCCCCTAGTGTGTTTTCGTTACTTAGTGGGGTGTTTTGTGTGTTGTGGCATGTGTTGGGCCACACACACACCTGCACTCTCTGCCCTTCCCTTTCCCTCTGTCTCTCTCCCTCCCGTGTCTCTCTCTTTCCCCTTCTTCTTCACCATATATGTACGGACCAAACCCAAAACCACCCAAAACCTTGCAGATCGAGGGAACCAAGTACACCATCGTGATGGTGAGGCCGAGAGGAGTCTAGTGGTGCCATTTTCAGGTGAGAAACCAGTCGTTTTCACGTCGATCTCGTAAGCTCCGTTTTGAGCACTGTTCATGCAAACCTAATCTAGTATGTTTTTGGACATTCTAAGCTTGTAGATGTGTTAGTGAGGCCTCAAGGAGCTTGGGAATGCTTCGTTGGGTGAATTTGGACATCGGGAAAGCTTAGTTTCAAAGTTGGCCGAACTTGGATCGTTGTTGCAGGTGAGATTCTTTGATTTTTAGGCCTTAAAAGTAGTCTAACGTGATTCTACTAGTCCTAAGCTTCATTTTGGTATAAAGAACGTGAAAAATGGTTGAAAAACGAGTGAGAAAACGAAGTTTGAAAAATTTCCAGTTTTCCGGCGACGCAGGCGGCGGCGGCTCGCCGGAGAAGACAGGGGAATATTCCGTTGGACTTAACGGAATATTCCTACAGGACTAACGGCGTCAGTCAACGGAATATTCCGTCAGTCAACGGAATATTCCGTCGGTGTGCCGTGCACGTGGCCGCGCGTGGGGGCGCGTGGACCCGTGCCATTCCAGGCGCGTGGGGGCGCGTGCGTGGTCCAAAAATTATTTTAAAAATATGGTTGTGATCGTGAGGTTGTGTAGGTCACGTTGGTATATTCATTTGTCCATTTTGAGCAATGTATGAGAAGTTATTTTGAATGGACGGTTATGTGCTTTAAAGTTAACGTTTTTGTAGTTAATTCGCATATAGGTGACACGTATCCCGAGGACGAGCGTGCACATTCGAGGCAGGGGGGCTACGACCCTTCTACATACCAGTGAGTGGGCTTTTGTTTTCCGTATATACCTATATACATTTATATTCCCAGAAATTGATTTAAAAAGGGTTATTTGCCTTATGCCATGTACTTTATTATTTATCGTTTATGCATCGTTGCATGCATTATTTGTGGCATACATATACATATGCATATGTTACATATATTTATGTGTGGGTGCTGTGGAGGCATACGTAAGTGCCAGGTAAGCGTTAATTAACGATTGCATTACATAGTGTTTAGAGATGCTTAGAGAGCTCATAACCTGCACCCCCGGTGTTAGTGCTCCCGCCCAGAGTAGGGCACAGTCCTTCACGTGTTGTTCACCTCCCGCACCATACGCTCAGCTTGGATCCAAGTTAGGTGCATAGGCCTGTCGTACAGACCACAGTAGGTGGTTCCGACTCGTAGGTGACCTGCGATTATTCGCACAGCCTTCACGTGATCGTAGCACTAGAGCGTATATACATGTTACACCCAGGCCTGTCGTACAGACCCTTTAGGTGGTTCCGACTCGTGGGCAGGTTTAGTTATTGAGATTGACATTTGAGCTCTATATACAGCCGTACAGGTCGCGTTAGGTGACTCCGGTTGCCAGAGGATTGTGTGATTGATACGACTCACACCTGAGCACTTGCATATCATTAGGAGATTTTGACATAGCATATATTGAACATGATTGGCATACCCTTGAGCATGTTTGAGCATATCTATACATACGTACATATGTTATTTTCTGGGAAGTATACAGGTTTTACGGCGAGGGGTTAGATTGTGTTTTATTAAATGGTTTTCAAAGAGCTTTGTTTTTGCCCACTCACACTTTTGTTTTGCGCCCCTCCAGGTTCTAGTAGCTTAGCCGTTGCGGTGGTTTCCCTTGCGAGCTTTTCGGCGTTCTGACAGACACTCCACATTGTAGGTTCGCCTTCGGGCGTACTACGGTTGTTATTTTATTTGGACTGCTATAGACCTGCTCTGAATTTGTATCGCACTAACTAGCACTTATTCTAGTACTTGAATACTAGTTTTTAATTATTCGTACTTTTATTTTACTACTCTATTAGCTTCCGCACGTGAACATGGCTACGTCGCCTTTGTGTGACGGCCAGCACGCTCCTACCTCGGTCGGGGTGTGTCACAAATTCTATTGCCAGGGCTACTTACTGTTCATTAAGGCCAATTACTGTTCATTAGGTGGATTGAATAGTGTATTGCCAGGGGGAGGGCTCCAACACTGGATAAATAAAGCCTTGAGGAGAAAATATATTTTTGGGCTAGATTCCTTCATGATTTAAGTCTAGCTTAAATTATTCTGGACCTATCAAGCTGTCATATTTCAAATCTTTTTTTTTGTTTTTTTTAATTATAATCTAACGACTGTGATCAAATGAAATCAAATCCAATGGTAAAAATAAAAAAATAAAAAAAAATAATGACCCAAAATTAAATCTAACGTTTAAAATAATTTAAGAAAATTATTGAATCAAATTTCACTTAAACCTTTATAAATACCTATGTATTTGTATGATTTTTAATTACTTAATTTAAACATTTTAATCTCTATTTTTAGATTAAAATGTTCATAAAAATAAATTAGGATAATCTACATAAATTTTATAGTAAAAAAAGTTACCGAAAAAAAAAAATTAGGCTAATACCATTATCTAATAATCTTGAGCTAAAATTTTAAGCCATAAGGGTTAGATGAGAAAAGCAGTTTCTTAGTTATGGTTTAAAATTTTTAAGCTTTATCCCCAAGGGTTGGAGATGGTCTAAAGTCTTAACTGCCTGTCCACTTAGCAAGTAGGAAATCTGGTTCATGATAATAAATAATTTTAACTATCGACATATATTAATGGTCACTTTTCTATTTATTAGATTATCTAATTTACCGACAATAATATGATGTGAGTCGAACACTATTAAAATCGGCAGTAAAGTCTAAGCGTTGAGCCCGTAATACATCATTTTACAGAAAACGATGCCACAAGTCAAACTCACCACGTTGCTATGACATATGAACTTTTTAAGCCAAATTCCCTTGTTCACTAGGTAAAATTCATATTTTAGTTTTGAGTATGTGTTTGAAATTTCATTAATTTTGTATTTTGTTTCCATTAGGATTCCAAGCAAGCCTAGGGTTCATTAATGGTATAAAACCAATTTTATTTGGTCTTGGGGTTATTTTATTGGCACCTGTCATTTTGTTAAATGCGCTCCACTTAAAAATTTAACATTAAATGACTTATATGTCCCAATATGAAAAGACTACTTAGACCTCATAAAGGTCGTTTATTTAAAAATAAAAATAAAATATTTTTTAATACACCCTAGATTGATAAGTAATTTTCTTCAAGCTTTCAAACCCACTTCTCACTCAATTTTAGAACAAAACACTAATCATTGAAAGTACAAACACGTTTTATGAAAAGAACTAAAACTTGGTTTTGACAAATGGTTTATGAAATCAATTATTTGGAGGCTC